AAAATTCTCGCGCCGAAGGGGTCAACCAGCCCAGTTCAGCTCGTCGCCACCTGCTCCCTCCTCCTTTGATGGCGAAGCCAGGTTACTGAGGCAATACAGCTCCCTCTAGCAAACCTAGGGCCGTGTAGTGCCCGTCCACCTTTCTGATGATGTCTGCCTCCGCGCACAAAAATGAGATGGGCATCACTGCCAACGCCGACGGCCAGAAAGGCCCGCGCATCTACATTTTCCCGCCTGACCCCATGAGTGCCGACCCAACTCCACCACCACACGCACCACGCCTCGCGGCGGATGCGCAGCAGCAAGAAGGTTTCGGTCATCCCTTGAGGGTGAGTCTAGCCCTGCTCGCCAGAAAGACCCCCCCCTTCGCTACAACCCATGTCTAAGCAAAAGCTTGTCGAGGAGCGAGGGGAAGAAGGGAGAGTACTGAGTTAGCAATAATCAACAAGCGAATACAGTATCCACGACCGGAGACCCTCTACTCCTTCTCACCAGCTACCTTCGAGACTCATACTGCCGCTGTTCCGGCTCATTTACCGAACTCGGTACCCATCGAGAGGCTGCTATCATCAGGTCGGTAGCAGTGCTTTTATGCTAGGGTCCCATGTACATTCCTCTCTGGACAATTCCTCTCGACACCCAGGATCCTGCCACTTGAATGGCTAGAGACCACGCGGAAGACATAGGACCCGCCCCTATCCCTCTCCTCTCCTTCCATTATATATACCAGAGACAAGATGTCAATCGGTACCAGCTGTGTACAAATAGGGGAAACAGGACGGCGAGCGATTGCAAAGATGCACCGGCGGCAGGTTGCCCTTCGTTGTGCATGGGCAGAGAGCGGGCTGAGAGAGAGCACGCTCGACCCCATCTGTCTGAGATGGAAGCCACGGAGATGTCGTCACTGAGGAGCTCATGATGAGGAGAATGGGCGAACTCGCAACGAACATTTCCCGGCATGGTCGTTGATCTTTTAGCGGCCAGCGGTCCAAAATATGCTTTTCAGAAACATAAAAGGTACTTGGCGGGCTATTGGGCTGAATGTGGGAATCAACGACCGATCTGGTGCAAACGTCAGAATCACCCAACGCTGATACCTCCGTGTTCCTGCCCGAGGGGCGCGTCTTCGGCAAGTGGTTTTCGACATGCACCTCCTTGCAGACGAAGGAGGGCTTACCTTGATACTTGCTCCGTGCTTGCCACCCAAGGCTTAACCTCGAGATGGACGACAACGACGACGAGGCCTCTGCCGCCGGTGTAGTCGGTAGCCACAGAGGAATCGACAACGACAACCGCAACGACAACATGTTGACAACCAGTCGGAAGAGATTTGGGTTCGCGCGCGTCGTCCCGGAGGAGGGCAAGAAGAGAGTGAACTACGGCAAGGGCGATGCTCGCCGAATCATGGAAGAGGCTGTTTCGCTGTGCGAAGCCATGGCACTGGGGTACGAGGTGGTGTTCCACGGCAGGCGTCGGAGCTTCAAGTCAAGCAGCAGCATAGCAGAGGGTGTCAGGTAAATATGTTTTCAAAAACATGAGTGCGACACAGCTGAATGCATCCTTTTCGTCCGTCTCTCGTGCCCAGCTTTTTCTCAACATCTCATGCACAACGCACGCGAAGCCCTGGCCGCTATTGTATACTCCTGGACGCATAGCACGGGTGGTTTTCATAGCGACCATGGCAGGAACGGAAGGGATACGTACTACTGCGTTGTACATCGCCGAAACGGAAGGAAAAGTACGTTTGCATGCGTTTTGCGTGCGTTTGCACGTACGTTGGTTCCGGATGCCGCTTCGCACCAGCTGCTCTCTCGGGTCCATTCGGGTTAGCGGATCACGGTATAGCAGGGTAAGCTTGCCGCATATAAGTCAGCAATACCAGGTGCATCAACACGATGAATACTGCATCTGAATGGAGAACATATGCCGACCAGCGTTGAGGGACGAAACATGTGGATGTGATGGTAGGTTGTCAACCTAGACCATAGACCTACCGTGAATGACACAAGATAACACACCCCCTGGACCGATTTTCAAATATCGATTGGTCAACAATCAACAACAGAAAGAGTCACGGCGCCGAAAATGGCGACGTTGGAACTGTCTCGTCGAGAGCTTTCCAAAAATCTATCGTTTTATTTATGTATCTTCTTCGTCGTGGAGTAATCGTGCTTTGAAAATTGGTCCAGGAGGTGTTTTATCTTGTGTCATATACGGTAGTCTTTACCACTTGTTGCATACTGCAGTGTTGTTGTGGATGTTGTTGTTGTCTTCAATAACCCTTCCGTTCTCTCTACCCAGTACCTCCTCCTGGCCGTTCTACTTTTGTAGCCACGGGTCGATTCCCGTGGTCACAGGCCAGCATACCGTAAACCACGGAGTTTCCCCCCCGTAGTACAGATATTCCCCCCCCCATTACCTTTTCGGCCTGGAAGCATGGTTTCGTTTGCCCCGGGGTAGATCGTTTTCGACCAAAAAAATAATGTGTTGTCTGCTGCTGCTGATGTGTTGTACAGGCGTTTTGGTTTCAGGGGACGCACCTCCCGCAGCCCAGGCACAACCTCTCATTCCCCCTTGTCAAACACAAATGATATAGCATGCATGAAATGATACACTCTGTCTATACTTACGGTCCGCGCTGCCCACAAATGGGAGAGGTAGCCATACCTCCTGCCTACACACGGACGAGAGAGGTGAACATACCCACTGCATTTAACACACACCCACATGTCGGTGATGAAACCTCATCAACCACACCCCTCTATCGGCGACCACGTCAATGATGAGAAAATGTTCTCCCGTGCCCTTCGCACATTGAACGACATGAAATTCCACAACATATATGAGACACACAGGACAGCTACCAAACTGATCTTTTGAGCCTGTCACCCGCAGGGAAGTTGTCCCTATATGCTGTCTAGGAAATCGCAGACATACAGGTAGTTTTCTCTGACGCTATGATTTCATTGTTAATCTGTCTCTGACCCTTTTCCATGATAGAGATGGACTCGTTGTGTCATTTTTTAAATTAACGGTGAGACCACGCCCGTGTGCCCGCACATCAGCCGCACATACTCCGCACACATGCATACCAAACTGTAAATACGTTTGTAAACTGATGGAGATTGCATGTCCTACAATTACAAGGGTGCAACACACAAAACGCCCGACTAACCAACAGTTGACTTCATGTTGTTGTTGTTGTTGTTGACTTCACATTAAACCGTATACCAGTTGCTAAATGCCAAAATCTAGCAAAGACTCTCGGCCCGTGGTCACGAAAGTGCTGGAGCCATCTGAGGATCTAAAGAACACGCACACGTAGCAAGAAAAAGGTATAGACCTAGTCTAGTCTACAAGAAGAGNAGTAACTATTACCCAACATCATTCGTCTGCACCTTCCCTACATAACATCTACTCATGAGTATGAGACACACAAGACAGCTACCAAACTGATTTGGTGAGCCTGTTTTCCGCAGGGGAGATGTCCCTATATGCTGTCTGGGAAATCTTAGACATACATTGTGCAGGTAGTTTTCTCTGACGCTATGATTCCATTGTTAATCTGCCTCTGACTCTTTCTATGATAGAGATGGACTCGTTGTGTTATATTAAGAAGAAAAAATAAAGAAGCGACGTATAGTCCGTAGGTGTTGCCGCCCCCGCCCCCCCCTTTTGTGCTGACGGGTATGCGGGGGCTCCGTCCCATGTGCGGTGTAACTGCTGCTGCTACGAAATTGTGCGTCCAACATGTGGAGCAGAGTACCTACATGTACCGTCACGCAGCAGTGCCATGGTACACACAGGGAGAGATTCACACGCACAGCTTCTGTCTATCACAGCAGTGCCNCTATGATAGAGATGGACTCGTTGTGTTATATTAAGAAGAAAAAATAAAGAAGCGACGTATAGTCCGTAGGTGTTGCCGCCCCCGCCCCCCCCTTTTGTGCTGACGGGTATGCGGGGGCTCCGTCCCATGTGCGGTGTAACTGCTGCTGCTACGAAATTGTGCGTCCAACATGTGGAGCAGAGTACCTACATGTACCGTCACGCAGCAGTGCCATGGTACACACAGGGAGAGATTCACACGCACAGCTTCTGTCTATCACAGCAGTGCCATGGTACACACAGCGAGAGGTCAATACACACAGCTTCTGTGCGTCCGAAGGTGTGCACCAGCAGCTGTGTTTTCTGCTGCTGCTGATGCGTTGTACAGCCGTTTTGGTTTCCGGGGACGCACCTCCCGCAGCCCAGGTCACAAAGGAGCGACACACCGTATATGACACAAGATAACACCCCCCTTGACCGATTTTTGAAGCTCGATTTCTCAACTGCAGGAACAGTCACAGCGCCGAAAATGGCGGCGTTGAAACCGTCTTCTCGAGAGCATTTCGAAAATGTATAATTTCGTTTATGCATCCTCTTCGTCGTGGAGTAATCGAGCTTTGAAAATCGGTCCGGGGGGTGTGTTATCTCGTGTCATATACGGTATTTGTCCGTAGGTGTTGTCGCCCCCCCCCCCCCCCCCCCCCCCCCCCCCCCCCCCCCCCCCCCCCCCCCCCCCCCCCCCCCCCCCCCCCCCCCCCCCCCCCCCCCCCCCCCCCCCCCNGAGTTTTGGTTTCCGGGGACGCACTTCCCGCAGCTCAGGTCACAAAGAAGCGACATACATGTCCGTAGGTGTTGCCGCCCCCCCCCCCCCTGATTGAAGAATTTATGCTGATGGGTACGCGGGGGCTCCGTCCCATGTGCGGTGTAACTGCTGCTACAAGATTGTACATGTACCTCCAACATGCCAACATGTAGAGCAAAGTACCTACATGTACCGTCACGCAGCAGTGCCATGGTACACACAGGGAGAGATTCTCTTAAAAAGGTCCCCCGGGGGACCAGTTTTCCCACGAGTTCCCCCCGGGGGTTGATAGATTTCCCTTATTTTCTGAGTCGATTTTGTGGCATCGCGGAGCACAAAAAGCAGGATATGGGACGGGAAATTCATCTGCAGATCTCCGCTTCGAGCGAGATAAGGTGTACCGTTTGTCACTTGGCCCTCGCCGTTGTTTTATGGGTGAAATGCTTTCGTTTTCTTGTCTATTTCTTGTATTCATCATTCCTGGAGGCAGCTGAAATGTACCATAGCATGCTGACGAAACCTTGCGCACAAGGGGGAAAAACAATCTTTTTCATTTCTGGATCTCACAATTCAAGGTAAAACCGAACCATACAATAGCGGTTGTCCTCGTTGCTCTTACGTTCGTCCTCCCTCTGCTTGTTGAACGCTTGCTCGTAAACCTCATCCATCTCAGTTTCGCTACTCTCTGTGTGTTTGTAATGTGTGGACCATCGATATTTTGCACAACCCCCCGGGGGGGGGCTTCCCCCCGGGCTAGCGTTGGAAAAAAAAACTACCCCCCCGCGGTAGGTACGTCAATTTCCCCCCGGGGGGTTTGGTTTCAGAAAAAAATACGATCCCCTCCACGGGGGAAAACTCCGTAGGTTACGGTAGTCTACTGAAGTTGCCTGGGGAGAAAGTTGGCGGCACACAATGCCCCGCGCATTTTCGGGCATGTGCGTGAGCTGATTCTCAACGTGTTGACCGTTGACAAGGGTTTTCGGGCTGTGTGTGAGCTAAATAGAGGGTTCTTAACGTGTGAGACGTTAACCCTTACGTGAATGGGTTGATTTGATTTTTCTTTGTTTTTTCCCTACAACTGGCCCTCTGCGGTCAAACATCTTTCAAGCATGCGTGTACACCCATAAATCACGGCGGCAAGGATGGTGCAGCAGTGGGTCCATGTGTGGGGCTCACAGGGATGGGGACGCGGTATATGTAAGGGATACGAACAGGAGTACAGTAGTACTACTGCTGTACAGCAGCAGCAGCTATCTATACGAAGAGAAATAGACTGTACAGCAGCAGTAGTTTCTGAGCAGGTGTGCATGCCTGTCTCCGACAGCAACCGTCCGCACAGAGGATGTACTTGTGCAAGCAATACCTGTTGGCACATCTTCTCCACCTAATGCTTGGACAGAGCATACGGCAAGCGCATATGCTAGCGGCGCTAGCTGCGAAGACGCTGGCGGGAAACCGCCTCACTCACAGAAACGCCAGATTGACGAAGAAATCGGCCCACTCACCAGAGAATCGAGACCATCATCCACTATCGCACAAAATGTATGAAAATCGCGATAAATTTAACTATTCTGTACCACAAATAGAGAGCTGTGATCGGAGCTGTAGTTCAGAAAACCCTTGCCTTTGAGCGAAATTTTGCGGGTCCCTCCATGTAGAACCGTGGAACACCCCCCTTCCGGGCCAAGATTGACACGCAGGATCGCCACTTTAGGCGGCTCACTTGCAGCAGTCTATTATATGGGGTTTAGCGTTCTAAAACCAATGCACTCTTCATTGAATAGACTTTCGTGCCGCACTCTGAAACCCATAAGACACCCTTAATTTGTAGACTTTCGTGTCGTCATACTATTTACTACACCATACACTAGTCCTCGCGACCAAAATTGACGCGTATTCTTGGGGTGTTCCCATGTCTTCCACTAGCTTTGTGTGGGATCCCGCGCCCGCGCGCTGGAAACAGCGCCCGAAAAATGTCGAAACCCCGGGGATTTCGTCAAAATATCCCCCCGGGAATATATAAGGCCTATCACCCCCCCCCCCCCCCCCCCCCCCCCCCCCCCCCCCCCCCCCCCCCCCCCCCCCCCCCCCC